ATAATTTTTTTTTTCACCGGACCATTCGGTCACAGGCCAAATATGGGGGCCTAAGTACACAAGTATGGGATAGGCTGACACTATAAACCCATACTTATATGGCTATATGTCAGCCTAAGCCCATACACATAAGCTTAAAGCCTATGTAGATGGTCAAAAGTGCATCGGGTGGACTGATTACAGCATCGTGGATGTCAGATTGACGTCTCAACCCCCCAGAAATTGATAAAAAAACTCAGATTTTTCCAAATTTTGGGTCCCAACCATTCGGACATCCCAAAATCCTATACAGTACAATGCCGCGCGCCACTGTAAAGCTAAACAGAGTGTGATTATTCAAAGATATGGTTTGTCACGTGGTCAAAACAGGAATTTTCCTGCCTAAAACTAACTAAAATTCTACTAAAATAAACTATAAAAATCACTACAATGGTTTAGATATATCTAATCCACTTGCCAAACTTCAGGATCCTCTATCACGTTGGGGACTCCCTTGTAAAGCTCAAAAGTGTTTGTAAAAACCTTTTGCTGAGTGTGGAAAGGGATGAATGAGGATACCTCTGCCTTTCCTGGATCACTAGACACTAGACAAGCCCACCAATCTCAGATTGGAAGGTTTAATAAAGTGATAGTGGAGTGTATCAAAAGATAACTGTAGCTTAACAGGTGGACAAGGGTTTAACCCAGTTTTATAAGGGTCTAAAAGGTTGATTTGAGAGTGAGAGAGTGAGTCTAGCTGATATTTCAATGGTAAGGGGATGGTATGTAAAGGTATATAAGGGTTTGTAAGGGTAGGGGGTATGAAATAGGTGGATACTAAACTGAGGGGAAAACAACTGAGAGGAGAGCCTCTTAAATACACAAAGGTGAGGGATTTTAGCTTCAGGGGAACAAGAGAATGAGAGATTTTAGCTGGCCAGAGCTTTACAATGAGGGGATTTAGCTAGTCAGAACATGTACATGAGGTATTTTGGCTGGTTGAGCAACCTACATGATGTCATAAGAGTTATTTTAGTTTGAACTACATGAGGTTTTTATGCTGGTGAAGCCTTTTACATGAGGTGATGTACTAGTCTGCAAGCTAAGTTGAGGTGATGAATATTACATGAGTGATGTGAGATAGTCTGACAGCTGCAAGGAAGATTAACAAATGACATGACAACCTGCATGATGCACTAGAAAAACTGTTGGATCCCATTGTGAAAATGCGTGGTAACATCGCATGTCACATGCGATGTCACCAC